TAAATTGAGTGTCGAGAGGTCATGTAATTGTAAATGGTGGAAAAGACTATAGAACGGAGAGTGGAGGCTGCATGAGCCTCATGCAGGAACGATGTGTTGCTTTGAATGTTGTGGGCACTAAGCATCAGCCCTGACATAGCACAATCGAAGGTGCCTCATGTAGTCAACATATGAGGGATCTTACGATTTTTGCCCCAGAGCTTCTTCAAGCGCCAGTACACAGTGCGCAGCCCAAGTACTGCAAGACTTGTTTGCATCGACGGTGTCCATGTTGTGGTGTAGTAGCAATAGCAATGACAATACCAGAAATAATAATCACAATAACAGCAATAAGATATAACACCTTATACTCAAAATAGTAACCGTATGATTTAATGTTGTAATGGTACATAGTGTTAGTAGCAATCGTAAAAAGTAGCCATAATAGTAACAATGGGCACACCGCACGTAGCATTCTCCTTGTTATTCGGGGCTTGCGATGCAAGAACTCGTTGCTCAAGGCAGGAGTTCAGGTTCCGAAGCTATTTAGGCAATTAAGGGGAGATATAGAGGCATGTAGGGGAATTATGGAGAATCACCTCTAAAGGGGATATACAAGGGAATTATGGAGAATCAACCGGGAAAATTTGGACAATTACATGGAAAGTGGGAGCCATTTAGGCTCAATGCCTCATTCCGCGCAGCCAGACTCGACTTCCGTTTGCCATCGGCATGTCATGCGCAGATGTAGAAGCGATCAGCATGGAAAGCACGGAGACCACTGAGGTTACAGGGACAGTTCGCAGCATGCCAACCACAGATGCTTACCTTGCATAGCTTAAGCCCCGGGCTTTCAATGGCTCATAGTAGGTATTTAGGGTTGAGGGGCTTGTAGGTGCCATTTATAGGGCTTGAGGCCCACAATGAGTTGTTGGCTTTTGGATTCAGAGCTATGGGATAAGAATGGAACTTCATTTGCTTATTGCGGCTTCCCATTTCGAAGGGTGGCGTGTGGTCTAGGCTTTATACACATTTTGAGCTTGTCTAAAGTAGGCCATGGTCGAAGTGGTTTTCTGCCTTCTTATACTGGAGCCCAGAGTGCAATAGGGAACATGATATTATATCCCAGTAAGTAAACGCTACCCTAGCGATAAACTTTTCAGTCCCCTATATACCCCCATTATATGTCTCTTTCTATAGGGGATTCTCCATAATTCCCTACATACCATGTATATTCCAACTCATGTTCGATGTGGTTTTCATCTGATTCGCCGGTATTCGTGGAAGAGCTTGATGTTGGGCCCGCATAAAGAAAAATGAGGAAAACCGTAGCAATATCACTTAAAGGCAACAAATAACATTTCTAATCAACATCATGCTCGTACTGAATAATCGAACTAGCTTAGGGCACCGAATTCCCCTCACCCAGGCCCTCAATCTGTAAAGTTAAAATCGGCATGCCCAAACTCCCATCTTGAGAAAAACACCCTAAACCCTAAATTGAAGAAGGAAGGACTCCAAGAATCCACATATGATCCCTACGTGTGCCTAGGGTCCCTTGGGCCTAGAGCTACCTGACCTCAAAATCTTCAACCCCAGCAGAAACCCTAGCTCTAAGCAATCTTAAAACCCGAAACCCCACACTTTGAATCCTTGAGCTTCAAACCCTAAACCCGAAACCCTAAACCCTAAACCCTAAACCCTGACTAGGAGGTTCTAGCCTTCCCCTTCCCAGCAACCCTACATAGTGGTTTCCATTTTCGTTTCCATGATTAGGGTTTAGGGTTTAGGGTTTCCATTTTTGTTTCCATCATCCTTATAAAATCCCTATGTAACCCCTAAACCCTAAACCCGACATAGTAGTTTCCATGTTCTTTTCCATTTCCCCTATCAAACCCCTATATGACCCCTAAACCCTAAACCCTATTAAGAAGTATCCCTATAAAAACCCCTATATAACCCCTAAACGCTAAACCCTATTACGAAGTCGAGGATGAAAGTTTGCGCTACATGGAACTAGAGCTTGCGAACTCAGCCTACGACAACCATCTGCTTTGTTGCATCAGGCCTCAGTTCATTGTTTTAGGGGTTTAGGGTTTAGGTTTGTGGATGTTTACCCTAAACCCTAAACCCTATAGCGAAGCCATTGAATGCCCCAAGGCCTTCTTAAGGTTCAGTTATAGAAATGTCACCGCATGTGTATGTATATGTGTTTGAAGAGGGCTCAAGGTTTTGTGTATATATCAAGTCTACAGGTTTAGATATGCTCGCCCCTACACCTCCATGATTTATCAACACGTGCTCAATTTCCTGAGCAAGGATCCCGTGTGATCCGCTGAAAAACCCAAATGCAGGGGGTCAAAAAGATCAGTCGTCGCTTCTTTGGGAAGGGGAAATGTCCATGTCTCTCTTGGGTTTAGGGTTTAGGAGCGCCCTAAACCCAAAAACCCTAAACCCTACTACCTCCTGTAGTTTCCAAGTTCGTTTCCAGCATCTCTATATATCCCTCATATATCCCCTTAAACCCCTATAAACCCTAACTCACAGGTCTGGCATGCCGGGGTCCAAGTTGCGGCCCTGGGGGCTCTTAGTGGCCAACTTCATCGTACAGTATCCTGGCTGACCTTACCGGTGCTTAAGGGGGATGGGGGAGTGAATATAAGGTCTATAGAGTTAGAGGGGTTCAGGGCTTCAATACGCCAATTACCTTTAGTCTTATGGCTTTTACCGCTATACCTGCAATTACAAATAAGCGGTAGGTACTCAGGGATACAGGTCCATCCACATCATCCACAATCCATGTAGTAACGCAGTAGCCTCGACTCTACGCCCCGGCAAGAAGCAAGGTATGTGGTGGTCTACCTGCTTTGGCAGAAATTAGGAAGTGCCAGATCCGAGACAGAAGCTGGGTTGCTGTTAAGGAACTTAATTTAAGGTATTCTTTTGGGAACGCCATCTTAATTATTATATACATATATACCTAACATGGTAACTTAAACTGAATTATTGGAAAAACCCATATTAATTACTATATATTCCCAATATGGTAACATAATTTAAATTCCTTAACAGCAACCCAGGAAGTTGAGCTCTTCGGGGCGGAGTCTCATCAGGGCCTGTGCTATCAGCGGGAAGAGGACAAGACTTGGTACTTTGGTCGCGGAAGCTACAGCTGTGCGCAGGATGAAGTGGCTCTTTTCCAGAAGTTCGAAACGCTGGACCTGGATAAGGATGGGTTTTGGACATACCAAGAGGCTAGACAGCTGGAGGCTCAGTTCTTGGAAGACACAGGGAGGCATGTGGACATGGGGGAGGTTTACCAGAATGTGTTCAAACAGATCAAGCGCTATGCACATCAACAAGTGCTGCCTTGTGAAATCGGCGATGAAGTCGAGGCATTTCATCGTAAGGGCACTGCTGAGGTGGGGGGTCAGATCGGGCATTGGACTACGGTGAAAGTGCTATTCATTAACAGCGACGTCAGCGATGATGCCAATACTGGGGTCTGGGTAAAGGGTCTCGAAGGCGAAGACACTGGGAAAAAGTGGTGGCAGTCCAAAAATTCCCTCCGAAAAACCGAGCAAGATTCAACCCTGTCCTGCAGCGTGCCTACTTGCATTAACACGGACAACGGTGCCATGAGCATGGAGCATCTCGCTTGCAATGACTACAAGGCTCTAGATGACATTTGCACGGCGGAGAATTATGCCAACACTGACGGAAACGGCTTCAAACTTCGTGAAATGTGTTGCCTCTGTGGCGGCGGATCCACCAGCGTGGGTTTGACTGGAATATCCCATTTGCCGGTGAACTTGTCCATGCAGGCTGTGATTGACCTCACTGAGTACAGCCATTGCTTGGTAAACTCCACGGACATCCGCAACCAGGAGGAGTGCATTCAAAATTACACCTATCTGCCAGAGCAAGTTTATCAAAGCCAGCTACAGACATTCACCAACCTCTGCATGTTGCCCGACCCTGGTCTCTGCGCCAACCTGGCATCGAAAGACCTTCTCCCGGAGCTGGGCTTCACGGTCGAGCATGCGATACCCATGTTCCTGAAGATTACAGGCTTTGCAAGCTTAGAAGAGCTGCGCCCGCAGGACTTCCACGACCTTCATGGCTCTTGTTATGATGTAGGATTGGTATTGTGGCTGGCCTCTCTTCTTTGTTTTTGAAAAATCTGCAAAGGTCCCATCAAAGCTTATGTTGCCCCGAAATTGATTCCCCTCGCCCAGTAATCCCTATGCAAGTAGCAGCGTCTGTCACAATTCCGATGACGGTTTCCCCCTCATGCGGCAGGAGATTTGCACGAGGATAGTCAAGAAAGTGTGCCCGTCCATCTTCGCAGTCGGGTCAAGCTTGTTTCTAGGCTGCTGTTACAAAACTTAAATTAAGTTACCATAATGGGTGTATATATATATATATAAAAGCAGAGGGTTTCCCCAATATAGTAATTTAGATTAAGTTACCATAATGGGTGTGTGTATATATATACGTTTACATATATACATATATATATATATGTAGTAAATACTAGGGTTTCCCAAATATAGTCATTTAGATCAAGTTACCGTATGTATATACATACATAATGTCTATATAGTAAATAATCGGGTTTCTCCAATATAGTAACTTGAAAAAGGTTCCTTAGCAGCAACCCAGGTTCACGGAGCGCAGGAAGAGTATCTGCGGGGACCAGATGTTTCAGGTGGGATAACTATGTACCCTTTTAAGGGGGTATGTAGGGACATATAAGGATATTTAGGGTTTAGGGTTTAGGGTCCAAGTACCCAATAATTAGGGACCTTGGGTTTAGGGTAGTAGCAAGTATAGTACAGGTTTTTGGGTAAGTATATGCTTATTTGGTACTTGGACCCTTAAAGTCCTTAAAGGGGGTTACTAAGCGGATGATATAAGGGATTATCTTAGGGTTTATTAAGGGGGATACTAGGAGTTGAGACTACAGCTCAAATTAGGGTTCAGGGTTTAGGGCGGCACTACCCTTCCGATGTGCACAGGTTGACGACGAGGGGACAGGGAAAAACCTCGCCTACCAGAAACTAGGTGACTGAACATTTTTAGGGCTTAGGGTTTCTATCATTTGGGCTGATTTGCGGCTAGGAATGAAAAGCATTTGGTTTTTCAACATATCGAATTGTGGAGGATGCTGCCTATCAATGTTGCTCACCTAAGTCCCTATATAAAATTATGCTATCTATAACCCAAGGGCCTACTATATGGGTACCTGGGCTTCTAGGGTAACCCAAACCACAACCCAGGAAAAGCATCGAGTACAACGATCCTGCCTTCGGGCTGACGACCGTGGAATTTGACTTTCGATGCCTTGGGTACGACCTAGACCTCCTCATAGCGTAAGTTTTAGGCTTCAGGGTTTAGAGTGTACGTTTTAGGGTTTCGGGTTACCTCTTATTGTGATGTTCATGTGTTTCTAGGCATTTTGTTAAGCTTGCAGCTTCATATGCATGGAATTCGAGAACAGGGACTGCATAATTTGGAGGTCTAGGTACACTTTTCTGTTTTTGTTGCGGCGGGTTAGGGTAGGCATTGTTGATCATTTGGCTGACAAGAAAGGGAGGCTCCGTACATCCTAGACTCTAAACTTTCGGATTTACAAGTGCGCCATACCTTTTGTAAACAGCACCTGGGGTTTTCCTGAACGCTGGGGGCCTTAAGAAACCCTACAGACATAGGGGGATCAGAAGGATGAGATTACACGGGCCCGGACACCTTCAGGGATGCAGTAGGGCTTGTTTTGAGATTCAATATGCACCCTCCCCCAAAGCAACGTACAAGCCCGAACAAAAACCTGTAGAGACTGCTGACCCCTGACAAAGCGGGCTGTGTGGATTTTGTATATGAGTTCGAAGGAGGTTATTCTGCAATCCAGGTGATGTTCTTGCTGCTCATTACGCTCCTTTGGGGGCTTGCAGCTGTTGAGGCCACGTCTCTTCGTACGTTTTGATGGTTGGATTTGTTCTTTACGGTTGAGGAGCTAGGTTTTTAAGCTTGAGGATGATAAGCTATACGCTCCAAGTCTACTCCCAAAAGCGGCCCCCTGCCAACAAAGAGAGAAGGGATCCAAAAGTGATGTCACAAGCAGTAAAGGATGCCATGCTGTTCTCTTTTTTGGGACAGGGGGTGGGGAGTCCTATCCATCCCTAAAACCTAAAGCCTAAACCCTAAATCCTGATGAGGAGTACCGCATCATCATCGTTTGGTGGAATGTTCTCGTTTCCTTGCCTACGGTGGCAGAGAAGGAGCCGTGCCTCGCGAACAAAATCGCAGACGAGGAGAGCCATTTGGGGGTTTCCCAAACACCGGGTATCTTTGTAAGGATTCCCATAAGAAGGATTAGAGCACTTTGGGGTTCTTATTGGGGGTACCCTTGTTGAAGGAAATTACCATATTCTACCAGCACCATGTTTTACTCATATTGTCGCTACTGCCACCGCTACTATTTTCCCAGCCTCCAAGTTGGGTTGTCAGATCTTAAGGACAATTGCCGGGATGCACCTTGCCCATCCGCCGGGCCGGTCAGTCCCGTCAGTAGGCAGTACAGTTAACAGAGGGCAACTTAGAGGAGAGGAAAAACGAGAGACAACAGTACAGGAAAAGGGACACAAAAAGGGACAGACAGCACGGCAGAACCACAGAACAGACAGGAGGACAAAAAAGTGAATGGATCAGAGGACGGCAGAAGAACAGGCCAGACAGGAGAACAAAAAAGAGAACAGATCAGAAATCGGCAGAAGAACAGAACGGAAAGGACAAAAAGGGAGAGCAGATCAGAGAACAGAAAAGAGAACAAATGGTGTGACAGGAAAGAGGACTGAAGAACGGCGTCCAAAGAGCAGCCAGTGGGCCTCCGAGTGCACCGCAAGAATCTATCTTGGCTCCACCGCAAGAATCTATGCTGGCGCCTACTAAAAGCAGCCAGCAGAGGTCCCAGCCTCCAAGTCCAAGTCCACCGCAAGAATCTACGTGGGCGCCCACAAAAACTCTGAGTGCACTGCAAGAATCTATGTTGGTGCCCAGAAAAAGCAGCCAGTGGAGGTCCCAGGCCCCCGAGTGCACCGAAATAATCTTGGTGCCCCAAGAGCAGCCAGCGGGGGTCCCAGGCCTCTGAGTGCACCGCAAGAATCCATGTTGGCGCCCATAAATCAAGATTATTTGTCAGGAACCTGTATGGCAAATCACGGTAGCAAACGACCTCTCCAGGACCTCTCCAAGACCTTTGCGGGACCTCTCCATGTATTCTCAATCACCTTACCCAATCTCTCTAAAACAAATCAGAACTTCTCCTGTATTGTAGATATGTAAGGCCTCAGCGTTCTTGCAAGTCACTATTTTCCAACAAGTCTATGGCAACCATCTAGCATCCAGAACAGATCCATAACCTTGAAATCATGTTCAGGTTCTCCTCTCTTAACAAAACAAAACTCTTGCCCATTCATGCAACGGTCCTGCTGCTTCGTCATGCTACACAGTCTTCAAACCATCCCCCAACCACTACAGCAATTCTAGAGATTTCTAGACAGCCTTTGAAGGACTTGAACGGCTCTCTCTAGGACCTTTTCAGCACCTCTCTAGCACCTGTGAAAAGACTTCTTTCAATGACGTCTCAAGGGCCATTCAAGGACTTCTAAATACAATTTTGCAAGCATTTACCAGATCTTTGCAAACAGTTCAGGATTTGAGGACTGAACCAACGAAACTTTTTTCACTGTCCTCAACACTCGCCTAGATGATTATCGGCCGTGAACTCTCCATCCTTGCTTCTCGGTGCATAGAAAGCGCATTTTATTGAGGTTTTCTGCGCCGCACCAGTAAAACCCCTACAGGACAGGACCTCACCAGTACCTCTCCAGGATCTCTCCAACACCTCTCCAGCACTTCTCAAGGACCCGAAAAAGTGGCCTGTCAAGACCCATTCAGAAGTTCCAAATACCATTTGGCAATTATTTGCAACATGTTTGCGTACGTTTCGGGACTTCAGCATTAAACCAGAAGAAACATTAAATCTTGCTGAGCCCGGAATTTTTCGAAATTTTTAAGGTCTAAACACACGCCTAGATGACTATCGGCCGTTAACTTTCCATCCTAGCCTTTTGTGCATAGAAAGCGCATTTCATTGAGGTTTTCTCCGCCCACCAGTAAAACCTGTATAGGACCTCTCAATAACCTTTCCAGCACCTTTCAAGAATTTCTCCGGACATTTGAATAGCATTTGAGAGTTCGATTTTTTCAGAACAAACCGCAATAATCGCATTTCACAAAATCACCATGTTGAACAGCAAGACAGTGTTATTGCTATCACTAGTATTGTGGGGCTTCACCGTGGCAATCCCTAAGCCCTAAACCCCAAATTGTGGGGTTTCAGCGTGGCAATCATCGACCAGTGCTTGAAAGTAAACCGAAACACTTCTGCCAGTAGACATAGCCATCCTTGCCTGTTTCTGAACCTCCAACCCCTGTTCCTGAATTCCTAGGGTTTAGAGTTTTAGGGTTCAGGGGTTTAGGGCTTAGGCGTTTATAGGCTTTAATTCAGCCCTGAACCCGCAAACCCTTAGTTTCCCCACCCCCTCTCAAAAAATCCTTGAAGGAAGAAAGCAGCCTTGAAGTTCGTGGACTTCACCGTCGAAGTCGCTGGCTCATCGTCGCCTGCAACCTCCTTCCCAGAAGTATACTTCAGAACTTGATCTTTGTGGTGGGGGGGTATCTGAAATCCGGGGTGTGTAGGGGAACCCTTGAACTACCAGGTAGAACAAGCAAATGGGGTTTTAGACAGGGTTTAGGTTTCAGGGTTTCGGGCGAGCGGGTACATGGGGTTTTAGGCAAGGGTTTAGGCTTCAGGGTTGGGAGTTGCGAGTCTCTTCTACAACTTCCCTTCTACGTTGTAGTCAAACTGCTGCCAGCAGTAAAGGCACGTCCGGTGTGAGACCTGCAAACTACAAGCCCTAAACCTGAAAACGCCAAGCCACTGAAATCCTACAGCCTCTAAACTCCAAACACTTGAAGTTGAACAAGCAGATCTTCTTTCATGCTTTCCAATGACCCCAAACCCAGACCATGAGGCTCGGCCCTGTCTTTTCAAATAGTCAGGTGGGTATCCAATACCTTCTCTCCGTCAACAATATTTCCGACCTGATTCTGCAGCCGGGCTGGTTTTCAGGGGTTAGGGCCTTCAGGGCTTGGGTTTTTACATGTAGGCCCAATCACGTATAGTCTTTAGGGGCTTTACCTACCCACAAGGGGGGAATCACTATCAGATTGCACAGTGCCTTGTAACCCGAGTCATCCCCTTTGATGCTTCAAAACTTCCTATATGAGGAACAGTCCAACCTCCTTAAAGGGGGTTATATAGGGGAGTGTTATGGGGATTGCTAAGAGGGATACTAGGAGTTGATACTGCAGCTGATATAGGGTTTAGGGTTTAGGGTTGGTGCTTCCTGGATTGGCCTTTGAGATATGTAAATATGTTCCCTGTTTGGTTTCATAAGGACTCTGTTTACTCGTCTTTTCAAAGGGTTCCACAGGCCAACCAAGCGTCTATACTTCTTAGAAAGCATTCCCTGCACCCCAGAAATGTGTACAATTCTGTCATTATTGACTCATTTTTCGGGGCTGGCCATTATTTACCTTCTTCTGAAGTTCAGGTAGAAACTTCCAGATCTCCGCTTGCTATGCTAAACCTTGGCCCCCAAAAGTCAAACTCCCCAGAAAGCCCATACTTTTCCTAGGAGCCTTGGGGTAAACCGCGATCAAAAACCTTCAACGCTAATCCTTAAACCCTGGAGACACACATTACATACCTTAGAAGGACCCCCCACCCTGCAATAGTGGTAATATAAGAATGTAAGAGGACCCTTAGATAGTCCTTATTATCCTTTTTTGCTACTATTACAGGGTGGGGTCCACCTAAGTTACACCTAAACTCCTAAACCCGTAAACCCTAAACCCCCAAACCCGAAACCCCTAAACCCTAAACCCATTTGGATATCAACACCCATCCTTTAGTTCCAAGGAATAGCCTGGCCCTGACTTTCCTGGTCACCGTAGACGAGATGATCTTCGGAGCTTTTGCAACGCAGCAGGATGCCAGATTAAATAGGGGTTATATAGCTTAGGAGGACCCCCCACCCTGTAATAGTCACTACTGTGGATAATCAGGATTGTATTAGGGTCCTCTTATATTCCTATTATACCACTATTACAGGGAGGGGGGTCCTCCTAATATATAGGGATTTTTAGGTTGAAGGGGGATGGTCTATAGGATGCTAGATGACATCTAGGTTATTTTGGGATGGTTAGATTTTAGGGGGATTGTCTCACTAGACCCTCCGCGTGCTTTTAAACGCGCTTTGTTAATCGGGGCTCTGGGGTCCCGAATGGTGACTTAGTGGGTCAGGCCGTAACTGAGGGTAGGTGGAGGGTCTTCGTTCGTGATAGGGTTTAAGGTTTTGTGCATATGCCACCCAGACCCTCTTAAGAGAACCACCCGACCCGAAGTTTCCAATAGGGAGCGGGTCACGCGGGGTGACAATAATTTGCATGACCCAAGGGGTCCCAGAAAAGAAGACAACTTGACACACATCTGAAAATGCAAGGCGTAAGAAGGATTTTGCAAGACGCCCCTCACCTCATGACTTATGCAGGTTTATGGTTTAGAGGCTACAAATACAGTTTTAAGTCCCAAATACTATGATCTGAATGGTTTTGTTGGTACCTATACCCCTAATATGGGCAGTGTGCTTGGTCCCGTAGTGCAAGCCAAATGAAATTGCAAGTGAAAATGCGCCTGGTTCTTGTAACATTTGTTTGTGTCTTTAATGACTGGCTTCACAAGTAGCTCATGCGCAAAAAAGTCACAGATCTTCAAAAAATGGGACTGCGGCCTGTTTTGGCAGTTTTGCGTCAACCTGAGTACTTGCATAGGGACTCCACGTACCAGTATCTTTCAAAGGACTCCAAAGGCCAGCCAATTTCGAGTCAAGTCATGCAGGCTTTGGTATTGGACAGTCCCAGCGGGTGCAGAGCTTGGCTTACCAAACAGACGCACCCTACCGATGCTAGTTGTAGCCCCCCGCCCTAGAGAAGAAGCCGTAAGTGTAGAACTTGAACCTTTTGCCCGAAGCTCGTACCTGATAAGGTCAGAGAAGAATTTTTAGTGCAGTGCCTTGTCAATAGAAAGGCCACCGAAGCCCAAACCGGTCAAGCGAGGGACTTCAAGCCACTCACCGTTTGACTCTAAGCTGTTCGCGTGCTCATTTCAAAAGCAGTGGCTTCAAAAAAGAATGAGCGGTTTACCCCGAAGAGGCAGCAACCCTATCCACATGATCCTAACAGGATGCAACAATCATGCGGCAGACGCTGCCCATGCGAGGGCGATCGATCCGATGGGTGGACAAGGCCACCGTGGTTCTGATGGTGGTGGTGCTGATGATGGTGGTGGTGGTGCTGGTGGTGGTGGTGGTGGTGGTGGTGGTGGTGGTGGTGGCGGCGGCGGCGGTGGTGGCGGTGGTGCTGATGATGGCGGCGGCGGCGGCGGTTTGTAGTTCTCGTAGGAAGCAGCAGTGCATTGACGGCAGCAGCAGTAGCAGCACTGCGTAGCAGCAGCAGAAGTTGAGGAGGAGGCGGTGCAGCAGTATCAAGGCACAGGGTTTAGGGTCATTACCCCAGTAATGGAGAATCACTTGGCAAAGAAGATTGAAAACACAATTGACAATAAGATGTGAAGTGAGCTTTCTGGATTTGGTCCGCTCCTTAGCTTTAGAGGCCAAAACCTTGCAGAAAGGGTACACTGCATGATGACCATTGCCCTAAACCCTAAATCCTAA